GGTCATTCGAGTATAAAGTAATGCCATTTGGGCTGACGAACGCGCCTGCGACATTTCAGATGACCATGAACGAGGCGTTTAGACCACTTTTAGATAAATGCGTGATAGTTTACCTGGACGATATTCTAGTTTACAGCCGGGATAAGCAGCAACACTTAGTGGATCTTGAAGCAGTTTTTAAGGTTTTGGAGGAACATCGGCTACTCACCAAGGGCTCCAAGTGCGAGTTTTTTCGGGACAGGCTAGAGTTTTTGGGTCACGTCTTTTCGGAGGCTGGGGTTGAGATTGACCCAAAGAAGCTGGATACGGTAAAAGCGTGGCGCCCCCCGACGAACATCACGGAACTGCAGAGTTTTTTAGGTTTTGTTAATTACGTTCGACGGTTCGTGCCCGACATGGCACGTTTAACAGCCCCACTCACTGATTTACTGCGTAAGGGGGTCGCTTTTACGTGGGGAGAGAAAGAGCATGCTGCCTTCTCTGCCCTGAAAAACGTTCTCTGTTCACCACCCGTTCTACGCATCGCTGATCCCCACCGCCCGTTCGAAGTGGTTACCGACGCAAGTGACATCGCCATCGGAGCTGTACTGTTACAGGACTTCGGCAACAGCCTCCAACCCATCGCCTACGAATCACGCAAACTACATCCGCCTGAGCGAAATTACCCGATACACGACCGCGAAATGCTCGCGATCGTGCACGCATTCAAAGTGTGGCGCTGCTACTTGACCGGCGCAGACGTGACAGTACGGACAGACCATCAATCTCTACAGTACCTCCGTGCACAGCCCCACCTCAACCCACGACAGATTCGATGGCTCGATTTCCTCGAGTCGAATTTTCACTATACGGTCACATACAAAAAAGGAGCCTCGAATATCGCCGACACACTGACCCGCCCCACTGCCCAGATCCACGCGATACTACTCGCCCAGACCAGCCCGCTACTGACAGGCCTATTTACCCACGGATATCAAACAGACCCGTTCTTTACAGGAGGCAACTCACAGCAATTCGCAGCGGCAAAAGGAGTCTATTACGTAAAAGCTGGAACCGACCGCATCTGGGTACCAGGATACCCGCTACTGCGGGAACTACTGTTACAGGAGGCACACGACGGAGTTACCTCGGGACATTTCGGGGTAGAAAAAACACGGCAGCAGCTGCAGCGGTACTACTACTGGCCAGAAATGTTGACCGATGTGCAACGACACGTGGCATCGTGCCCCACTTGCGAGCTCATGAAGTCAAGTAGGAAGCGGCCGGCGGGACAATTACAACCCATCCCGCCCCCAGAGCGTGCTTGGCAGCAGGTGACGATGGATTTCGTTACGGGGTTACCAGCTGGGGCGAGTGGGAATGACGCGATCCTGGTCGTCGTCGATCGACTAACGAAGATGGCTCATTTCGCAGCATGTAGGAAATCAATCACAGCCGAGGAAACCGCCCGACTCTTCATCACCACCGTCGTTCAACTGCACGGGATACCCGCATCGATCATCAGCGACAGAGACACGAAATTTACAAGCAACTTCTGGCGGAACCTGTGGCAGCAGTTCGGCACGCGCTTACAGTTCAGTTCATCCTATCACCCCGAAACCGACGGACAGACGGAACGGACAAATCAGACCATGGAGCAGCTGATTCGAGCCACGTGCGACGATCCGAATACGTGGGAACAGCAGCTGCCACTCATCGAGTTCGCATACAATAACGCACCATCAGCCACGACGCAACAGTCGCCGTTTTACTTGAATTACGGACAGGACCCAACAGTACCCATGACACCGAATCCCGACAACCCCGTCCCACGAGCACAACAGTTCGCCGAGGTTCTGCAAGCAGCACGGACCAGGTCAGCAGAAGCAATAAAAAAATCAAACATCATCGCTAAACGCAACGCCGATCGCCATCGCAGACCCGTTACTTATCAGCCCGATGACCTCGTTTTACTCGACACTCAGAACCTCCGCCTGCCCATCACTCCAAAACTCCGCCCTCGATACTGTGGGCCATTTCGAATCAGTCACATGGTTACGCCAGTCACCGCGCACCTCCTCCTCCCTGCTGACTGGTACGTCAGCCCCTCGTTCCACGTTAGCTTACTTCGCCCTTACGTGCCATCCACCAGCCAACTCCCACGACATCGACCCACCAGCATGACACGACCACCAACCGAACCAGTCATCACCCCCGACAAGATCCTGAGCCACAGAGTTCGCGACCCTCGAGGAGCCCGCAAAGTAGAGTTTCTGATCCGCTGGAAAGATCGTACCCCCACCGAGGACAATTGGGTTCCCCTGGAGAAAGTTGAAAATCACCCCGTCGTCACCGACTACCTACGTAGCCGCAATTTCCGAGACATCCACGCGCTTTCATAAGGAGGACCTCCTTAGGAGGGGGGGTAGTGTAAGGAAATTCCATTTTCCTTACTTCGCGTCCCTGCTCAACGCGTACATCACTGTAGCACCTCAGTCAGCACCGTTACCACTCGCGACCATCGCATCATTCATCATCCCGCCCTTTTTCGCACATCGCATCCCGACCTCACGGCTCGGCTGGTAACCCGCGCTCCGGACCTACGCTTCGACACTTTCCCAACCTCAGTCCCAGGCTCGTCGCGCGACCATTACCATTACCACGGTAGTTTCGCTATATAATGTTCGCTCATGCCTTCGCTCATTTGTATTCTTGCTTCGATAGTGCAATTCTCGTTCGTTCACTCAATTGCACTCGTAACGGAAACTAAAAATCGCCCTAAAAACATGAACTTCTAAAAATTTCAAAGACCTCACGCGCCCTAAAGCCTTTCGATCCCGCAATCCCCTCTGCATCAACGCAATCCTCCCATGGCTACATTTCTGTTATCGCGCCACAATCCTCTCTCCGCGTCCGCCTTCCTTCCCGTCTCCCCCATTCGCCCAAACCCCCCGGCTCTGCTTTTGCTCCCCTGCCGCTTCATACCGCCTTGCTTGCGTGCGTCCGCCCGCTATGGCGGAAACTTCTTCTCTGCGGAGGTCGTTCCGCGCGGACTTAGCGCAGGGCCTTCCCGCCATCGCCGCGGTAAACCCCATCGCGCTTCGTCGAGGAGAAATCCCGAACGAGCAGCTCGCGCAAGGAGTCAACACGCGGAACGCGCGGGAGGAGCGGCGGCAGGCGCGGGGGAAGAACACGCGCGGAAGGAGGGGGTAAGCGGAGATCACCTAGCGGGGCGGACGGTGCTAGTGACGGCGCCTGCGCCGTACGATGCGGCGCTGAGCGCGGCAGTGCGCGCAGCAGGCGGGGAAGCAGTGGCGTGCAGTATGGTGGCGACTGACGTGGGCGATGAGGCGTGCCGGCGAGCAGTGAAACGATTCCTTGTGGGGGCTGGGGGCGGGCGGCAGAGCGAGGACGCTGGCGGGGCGAGTGAGGGAGTGAGTGAGGGAGTGAGTGTGGGAGTGCAGGATGTGGCAGCCATAGCGTTCACATCGCGCAATGGCATCACGGCCTTTGCGAATGCGGTGCAGCGACTGCCACAGCACGCGCTGCCAGCTGCATGGAGAGCAACAGTCGCTCCCAGCCAACCCCAGCAACCCCTACAACAGCAACAGCGACTGCAGCAAAGCGAGGAGGAACAGAGGCAGCAGGACGAGCAGGAACATCAGCAGCAGAGCACCACACCCCTCAGCACCGCGCCATGCTCTCCTCTCCTCATCGGCGCTCTGGGCCGGGACGCCGAGCTGCTCTCCTCTCTCGGCCCCATCGTCTCCCACCCCTCCACACGCCTCGTCCTGCCACCTGTCGCCACGCCATTGGCCCTAGCAGACGCCCTGGGTCCAGGGGACGGGCGCATAGTAGCATGCCCTGTGCCGCGGGTGGAAGGGCTAGAAGAACCCCCAGTGGTGCCTACTTTCCTGCGTGCTTTGGAGCAAAGAGGCTGGCGAGTGCTGCGCATTGACTGCTATGTCACCCGCTGGACTGGCACCCGTGCCCTCATGCCCGTTCTTGCTGGTGCCATTAATTCGCAAGGCGGGGGAGATACTAGTGGGGGCGGAGAGGGAGGGGAGTTGGGCGAGTTACGAGCAGCAGAAGGGGCGGTGAGCATGCACCCGTCAGTGGCTGCCGTGGTGTTCTCAAGCACAGCAGAGGCACAGGGCTTTGTGGCCTGCTGCCATGCCATGGGCGTGCACCCTCTGCGCTTCCTGGGCAGACACGAATCGCAACCTCCTCATTCCCCTCCTGGTGCTGATGCTGCAGACGGCAGTGGGGTGAGCAGGCGGGGGGTGGTGGTGGCAGCGCACGGGCCGGTGACAGCGGAGGGAGTGCGCAACGCGGGGTTGCCTGTGGACGTGGTGAGCCAGCAGTTCAGCAGCTTTGCAGGCGTTGTGGATGCCCTTGCTGGACATCTTGCTCACTTATTTTGAATTTCACGAGGTAGATTGAACTGACTTGCAACGCAACTGGCTCTTCTGCTCCCAAAGGGTTGGATTCAGTGCTGCAAGACATGTGCACCTGGCATGGCTGGCTGTCCGCCCAGCATTACTTGTTAACCCCGTTCTAATTATAGTAATACCAGTCTAAGCAGCTGTATGAGGTATCAAACGCCTCTGCATATACAAGGTATCATCCACTTGCATTTGATGCGATTACATTTGACATCACCGAGGCAAACTGTCAATCAGTAGGAGGTTTAAAACAGTGTCAGTAAGTACAATGCAAATTGTCGACATAATTGTGGTGCAACCAGCACACACACTCCAAGAAACTACGGTAAAACGCGGCTGCTGGCAGTGGTGACACTTGATTCTAACACTCGTCCTCATGTGGGCTCTGCTGGTTGCAGGGAGCATGGCACTCCATAGCACACAGGAGCCAGCCCAATCAAATGCCGCAGCCGGCACACACTCCTCGCTTCCGCCACAGTCCCTCCCACACACACACACTTGCACTCCGGAAGCACCAACACCGAATCCCCCCTCTCCCCACCGCCCCCCACCCCTTCCTCACACAGCTCCACTTTCTCACTCACACGAACCACCCCCACGCTTCTCCCTCTCCCCAACCCCACTCCCACACCCCACCACCCGAGCCTTCCCAACCCAGCTTTCCAGAATCCGCTGTGAGTATCTGTCAATGTCCCCATCTGTGACGTCCCACAGGTTACCCACGATGGCAGGGCAGCCAGCAGCCAGGTAGTTGAGTGGTACGCCCAGGGGCTCGTAGTCCCCACGGGGGGAGAGGCGAGCACTGCTGCAGCCCATGAGGAGAGAGAGCGCACAGCGAGAGAGCTTCTTGAGGTATGAGCGATGCAGGTACTGCTCACCTGGTGGTGGGAAATGGGGGGGGAGTGGGGAGAAAGATGGTTGAGGAGAGGAGAGGAAAGAAGAGAGGGGAAGGTGGAGATTGAGAAGAGGGAAGGGCGAGGGGTGTGTGTGTGGAGGGGCGCACATGTGATGAAGGCTTGGAAGGCGAACAGAAATGGAGCTCAACAGTGAGAGGCATTTGGAAAGTGACAACGAGCAACCAGCAAGACTCAAACACTGCAAAATGAATAGTATAGAGTGTTGGTAGCATGGGGATTTGAATGAAGACGAGGGGGGGGGGGGGGGGGGGGGGTGAGGAGGAGATTGAGGAGGATGGGGTACCGCTGCCGTGGCCGCAGTAAACAAAGAGGCTGTAGTGCTCCAGTGCCTTCATAAACTCCTCCTCTGATGGCGCCTCACACACCTTGCCCTGCATTGCACACACGCGAGAGGGATCAGAGGAGAGGAAACAAAGGTAAAGGTTGAAATCAAGAAAAGTAACCATACGATATTTCACACTCATAAGCACATGTATCCATACGCATGCACACGTGTTTTACACAAAATGACATATCCAGGGAGTAAACCGTGCATGCGCATGCAGAGAGGCATGTGCACGTCAAAACATGCACATGCATGTATGAGTGCATGCACGCATGTCAGCTCACCTTCCACGTGCGCTGCTGCTTGAACCACGCCTCAAACGTGCCCTGAGTGGACTTGAGGTCCCCAGACGGGTTCAGCAGGTAGAACGCACTCCTCGCGTCCACACTCACCCGCACCTGCCCCTCTGCTCCCTGCCCCGCCTTCCCACTCCCACCCACCCCGCCACCCTGCTTCCTCTCCCCTGTCATCATCCTTCCTTGCTGCTGCGTCTGCTGGTGCTTCCCAGGCAGACCAGCATGCTGGTGGTGCGCGAGCAGGGAGAGCAGAGCAGTGAAGGAAGGCAGGCGGTAGATGCGCTGCTGGGCCAGGCAAGGCAGACCCTCCCATGGCAGTGCCTGGAGAGGAATGGAAAAAGGTGAAGGGGAAAACAGGAGGGTTCATGGGCTAAAATGGGCTCTCACAGAGTTGAAGGTTTATTCTTTCTTTCTTTCTTTTTTTCGTAATGGATTGACCTGCAGAGAGGAGTCCATGTCTCAGTCACATTCACGCACCTGTATGGCGCTATCAAGAATCAGCTGCACCGGTTGCCACTGCGCCATCCGCTTACCTCCACCCATCTCCTTCAACTGCACCTCCGCCTTCTTCGACCCTCGTCCCCCATTCCCATTGCTGCCACGCCTCACAGCAGCCCCAGCACCAGCGCCCCCTCCCTTTCCTCCACCTGCAGCAGCAGCAGCCTCTGCTGCTCTCTGAAGAGCCCTGTCAACAATCTGCCTCATCTTCTCCCCCTGTGCCTCCACTGCCGCAGCTGCTCTCGCACACATGTGCCCTCCTCCCGCTTCCACCAGCGGCAATGCAGAGAGTGTCTAGTGAGCTGCGGCAGCAAGCTCTTCCAGTGAAAAGGAAACAGCAACAGGGGCAGCAGAGGCAGTTGCGGATGCAGCCAACGAGGTAGCAGCAGCTGTGTTATGAGCCTTGTGCGTTGTCCCAGCAGCAGAAGCAGCACGGAACAGCAGGTGAATGAGGAAGGCTGCACGTTGCAGCTGCAGGGACTGCTGTGCAGCAACCAGCGAGCACACAGGGTCATCACACCTGCACTCCGTTGCCCCACTCACCCTCTCGCACCCTGCTACCGCACCCCACCCCTCTCCATCCCTATCAACACCAGCCTTAACGCCAGCAACCTGGGCAAGCTCCCTTCCTGCTGCCAACAAAACACCACCAGCCACTGAGCCACCATCAGCAGCATCAACCGCATCACCTTCACTGGGCTGTCCTAGAAGCAGAAACGCCCACGGCCCCAGCAGCTGCCCCTCCATACCTCTCAGCATAACCTGCAGGCGCTCATCCAACGTGAACCTCCACTTCCACCATGCTGCCTTGCTCTCCTTTGATGCTGCACTCGCGCCCGCTGCCATAGACGCACTGCTCTCCTTCATAATCGCCTCAAACTCCCTCCTCGTCTGTTGCATCGGCCCTTCAATCCACTGCACCTTCTGCCTCCCCTCCTGCCCCCCTGCATCTGTGGCTGGTGTTGCACCTTCCCTCCCTCCACCTGTCACCCTTCCAGCCACCGCCGCCGCCGCCGCTGCTGCTGCCACTGCTGCAGAAGCAGCTGCTGTCCTGTGCTGTGCTGTGGGGTCGTGTCTGGTAGGCCGGTCGCGGACACAGGAAGACTCAGACTCACAGGATGAGGCACCAGAAACAGGCGACGAGTAGGGCGAGGAAGATCGAGAGGAAACCTCATCCGCTAGCTTGCCCTTCTTCCCCTTTCCTACTTTCCCCTTCGCTGCAGCGGCCTTCCCAGCGGCCTTCCCAGCAGCCTTCTTGCCTGCCTCCTTGCCTTCGCCTGCAGCACCTGCTGCTTCCTTACTCCCCGCCTTGCCTTTCCCTCGCCCTCTCCCTCCCTTCTTGCTGGGCCCATTAGCACTCCCTTGACCCTCCTCCACGCAGCTTTCCTCTCCTGCATCCTCCCACGCGCTCCCACCTCCCAATCCGGCCTGCCCAGCTCCTCCTGCTGTCACAGACCCTCCACTGAAAGCAGCATCACCACCACCAACAGCAGCAGCAGCAGCAGTAGCAGCAGCAGCAGCAGCAGCAGCAGCAGCAGCAACAGCAGCAGCAGCAGCAGCAGCAGCAGCAGCAGCAGCAGCAGCAGCAGCAGCAGCAGCAGCAGCAGCAGCAGCAGCAGCAGCAGCAGCAGCAGCAGCAGCAGCAGCAGCAGCAGCAGCAGCAGCAGCGGCAGCAGCAGTGCACGGTACAAGCAGCAGCAGAGGCGGAGCGCTAGCAGCAACGCGAGTGAGCAGCAAGCATGACGCCTCCTTGCGCACCCTGCCACTCCCCACACTCGTACTCCCTGCCTTGCCTTGAAACGCAGGCACCAAACCCCCGTGTGCGTGTGGGGCGCCCTCGAGAGCACTCAGGTGGATGACAGGAAACGAGGAGGGGACGCGGCTGATGTGCTGGTGGAAGGCACGGAGGGAGGAGGCGAGGTGACGAGGGTGAGGGCACACGGGGAACCTGTGACACACAGCGAGTGGGAGGGAAGAGAGAAAGAGGATGGGGGGAACGAGGGGGGAATGGGTGTTAAGCACTGATGTGCACCACCAGCACCATAAAGATGCAGAGTCTTGAGCTTAAAAGACATGTCAAAATTGGACAGAGCAGGCACTACAGCAACCAACCAGCAGCAAGTTAGGGCAAGCATTCCAATGTAAAATGTGCTCAGCAGCTCTCGCCTCTTGCAGCCGCACCTGAGAGCATCCAGCATTCTCTCGTGCACCTTATGCCTGTCCTCCAACCGCCCCTCCGCCTCCCTGCTCGTAACCACCCTCCCCTCGCCCTGCCTGCCCTGCTGCGCCATGAGCTGTGCCACATGCTGCAAGCGGCTTGTGGCGCTCACTGCAGCAGCGTGAAAGAGCGCCCCTAGCAGCGCAGGGTCACACACACACGCACCACCAGCAGCACCAGCAGCACCACCGCCCCCACGAGCAGAAGCCGCAGAAGCAGCAGAGTGGCATGGTAAGGAGCAGAGGGCGCGGAGGTGGGAAATGTGATGGGAGAGCGACAGGGGGTGCGATGGGTCGTGGTTGCGCTGGGTGGCGGTGAGGGGAGTGGCGCAGGTGGTGGCGACGAGGTGCGCGACCTGTGGGTGGGGGTGCAGAACGGTTTGGGAGGCACAGGAGGCCGAGTAAACATCTGCATTGCGATCCAAGAGACATGGTGCATAGAGCAAGGCCAGATGTGACACGCTAGGCATAATAAGGAATTGAATGAGCAAGCGCACAGTGCAGCAGGGCCAATTGACAGACAAAGAAGGACATCAGCGATTATGTCTTGCCATCGTCAGCATCGGGTGTCACATGAGGGACAACATGGAAGAGGGGATTCACTAGAGGGAGACAATCACCTTGCGGAAGAGCAGAGGAGCTTCGGAGGAGAGAGCAGCTGCATGCAGCAGCCAGTGCGTCACTGTACCCACATTCAGCCCCTCCCACCTCCCCACCACTCCCTCATTCCCCCCCTGGTGCTGCCTGTGCAGCAGGAGCAGCGACAGGCGCCCTACATGCAGCAGCAGGGCAGCGCAAACCAGAGGACTGCTCGCCTGCTCCTGGCAGCACACCTGCACATCCTACGACCACCCTTGCTCCGCAAACTCCCCCTGCTCCTCCCACACTTGCCGCTGAGAATGCCCCATCTTTCCAACTGATGCTGGTCCATCCGAAAAGGGTTCCCCACAGGGGCAGGTGGAGGAAGAGTGGGATGTGGCGGAGGGGAATGAGCAGCAGGCGAGGGAGGGGAGGGTTGTGGGAGCGTGCAGCGAGGTGCTGTTGCTCCTTGCAACCACTGCCAGCGCTTTGCGGAGCAGGTGGCCCGCCACCGACCAATTGCAGGCTTCCATGTGGCAGCGCGCTGTTGGTTCAGGTGGAGTAAAATCGAACAGGGAGGTGAAGCCGAAACTAGATTAGGGTGTTCGTGAGGAGCACGCAACAGATGCATGGCTTTTTGCAACCACAATACTGTAATCAAGAAAGGAGTGACGGCTTGATAATTACATCATTTTACAAAATCAGGAGCCCCAATCATGATTCCCCCTGCCCATTGACACCTTCCCAACACAACACCCACCTTGTGAGAGCAGTAAAGTGACCAGTGCCTCCACTGCAGCCGCCATCCATGCTGCCTTCACCAATTCATGCGTCTCCCCTGCACCAGCTGCTTCCTTCTTAAACTACCACCCTGCCCCTCCCACACTCCACCACTCTTCTTCATGCATGGCCCCATCCTTTGCCCTCCATTCCTCAGCTCTCCAACAGCACTCCGATCCCACGTCCATCGCTTCTACCCACAATTCCCCCCTTCCTTGTCTCCCATCCTTCGGTCTGGCAGTGGTATCAGCGCCTCTTGCTATCTCAACGGGACTGAAAAACTCCTCCACTCCGCCACTGCTCTCCTCCTCATCCTCCACCACTTGTCGCCTCCTCGCCCTGCTTGCAGGCGTGCGCACAGATCGTTTCAGAACGCGTTTTTGGCAAGATCCAAACAAACCCGCCATGTCATCCTCTTCCTTCTCCTCCTCCCCCTTTCCCTCCTCCTCTTCTTCTTTCTGCTTCTTCTCTACCTTAGCTCCTACCCTACGCCTGACACCCCTTGCTGCTGCTGCTGCTGCTGCTGCCTTTTGAGTCGCTTTCTTGGCAGTCCTTCAAACCACAGTACTCTTCTTACTGCTCACCTCGTTACAATCAACCTTCTGTGCATCACCATCACTTGCATCACTGGAACTACTATCAGTCAGCAGCGACACCACCTCCACTGGACACTTGACCTTTCTCCGCTGACCACCAGCTGGAGCAGGAGTTGCAGCAGTAGAAGCAGCAGCAAAGGAAGATATTGTAGAAACAGTGGAGAATGAACTTCCATCCACATCCCCTACACCCGTAGTTGACGTTCTTTTCTTGGCCTGTGTGCCCCTCCCTCCTAGCCTTCGCCCACCTGCCTTCAGTCCCGTCTCCTCAGCCTCACTCCCATCAGCCGCAGTCTTTGTTTGCCTGCGCCCTGCACCTGCCTTCAACCCCTGTCTTGAATTCCTGCGAGCTGGATTTGCCCCAGCATCCTCTTCTGCTGCGCTCCTATCCTCGTCACTGTCTGATTCAATAACCTCCACAACATCATCGTCCTCCCTGTCTACACCAGCTGCTTTATTCCCACCCCTGACAGATGCATTACTGCGTCCTCGCCCTCCTGTCGCACTTGCCCTGCTTTCTCTTCTTCCCATACCCACCGCTTTGCTCTGTGTGCCATTCCCTTTTCGCTCCTCGACTTCCCCGTCTCCCCTCTCACTCTCACTTCCGCCTGCTTTCCCTCTTGCTCGCACCTTTCCAGGTGCCTTCTTTTGATCCGTCTGTACAGCTTCAGAAGCAGCAGCAACCTCTTGTGCCTCCTCAACAGCTGGCATCCGCGATTTCGGCCCCGGACTTCTACTGCTTCCATCCACGTCCTGCCCCGACTTCTTTGTCCCATCCGCTTTCACCCCATTCATCTTGATCTCGCCCAACGCCTTTCTCCCTGGAGCCTTAACTTTGGCCTTGACCTTACCCGTGGCCTTACCCTTCCCTCCCTTCCCCTTCCCTGCACTCTTCTCCTCATCCTCCTCCCCTGCAGCATCATAACCATCCCCGCCTTTCTCCACACTCCCTCCATCACCACCCTTCAGCCTCTCATCCCCACAGCATCCCTCCGCCTCGTGTGCCTCCACTTCAAATCTCTGCAGAAGCTTGCACGGCAGCACATCACCCTTCTCATCCTCTTGCGCCTCCCCCATATCCCCATCAGCACCACCAAAGCATCCACCCCTCTCCTCGTCCTCCTCCTCCTGTAGCCCATCACTGCCTTCCCACCCCTCACCCATCAAACCCTCCACTTGCCCTTCAAACGCCCTCCGCACCTCGCCATACCAAGGAACCAACTGCCCCACAGCCTTCTCGGCCCTGCTGTAATGCTCAACCGCTCCCTCCCACCCGTCACCACTCGCCCTTTCATCGCCACCATTTTTCCCTCTCTTATCACCCACGCCCTCCCTCCTCCTTGATGGCTTTATTGCAGAGCTCAACTCCTCCTCCTCCTCCACCTCAGCATTCTCGCGCCCGCCCTTCACCCCTTGCACCCTCAAACCCTCCAGGTCGTCTCTCCGCCAAGCCAGGTCCCCGAGCCTCTGCTGGAGGCTCGACTCAGCTATGGAAGCGCAGCCTCGGCAGGTGGCTTTGGCAAGTGGGTGTGCGTGGGAGGGGTGGGTGGGAGCAGCACGCAGCAGGGCAGCTGCATGTGAGAGATGCTGCTCGGCCTTGTGCCAGTTCATGCACTTGCGGTTGAGATGACCTGAAAGGGTTCAAGCGAAGGGTGGGAGGTGTACGGAGGGAGGGAGCAGTGTTGGGTGAAGAGAAACAAGGTAATTGGAATGAAGATGGTATGATAATATGAGATTAGAGGAGAAGCAGAAATTATTACAAGGATGCACCGATAGCTGTCTAGATTAAGCATTGAGGGCAGAGGCTGATACCGGTTCCATGCACCCACTGAGAGAAGAGGAGAAGATGCCTTGGGCATGTGGGAGAGTGAGAGCACGGGCAACGTGAAGGCCTTCTGTGAAGCGCCGTTCCGCCTCATCAGTCATACCCAGGTGCTCGAACACACTCCCCAGCTGAATGTCATGGGGAGGAAAAGAAAGACAGCAGGATGGTGTGAGCGATTGAGGGTTGATATCCATCGGGGAACATGATAATACTGAGAGAAAAAGACAAGCTGTGAAGCAGAAGTAATGGGAGAAAAGCACACAACAACACTTGCCCTCTGTATCTCAAGTCCATCACACAAGCAAAAACGCAGTCCATTTTCCTCCCTTCCCCCACCCTCACCTGGTGCAGGCTATCCACATTATCAGCCACGAGCCTCCACGGACTGGGAGCACCACTGCCTGCCACGTCCACCTGCCGCCTGCCAACCACAGCAGGCCACATGTCCCTCATGGCCTCATGCGTCGCCACCAGGTGCTCCCCCTCCCGCATCCCGCACTGAAGTCCAGGCACGTGCTTCTTCCTGCCCTGCGCCTCCTGCTTCTCACAGCCCCCTCCAACGCCGCCTCCAGCAGTCATGCCGGTAGTGGTGGTGGTGGTGTTTGCGGTGGCAGCGCTGGCAAAAGAGCCTTCGTGAGCCATCACATACGTGATCAGGGAGGCGTCTGAGGAGGCAGCAGTCAGGAAGGTGCCACTAGAACCAGCACCAGCGCCAGCACCAGCGCCAGCACCAGGAGCAGTGTTGTTAGGTGCGGAAGCGGAGGGGGCAGCGGAGGTGGCAGCGGAGTGGGCCGGCATGGCGGCGTCAGTGGCAGCAGTGATAGCCTCACGAGAGGCTTGGGTGAATACGTGGGAGAAGGTTGCAAGGCGCCACCTGTACGCCTCTGAGGCATGGTGGTACGCCTGGGAAAACGGGGAGGGTGAATGAAATGAGATGTTGAAGCAAGAGGTAGGAGGACATGAGCATTGAACTCGAAGGTCGGAAGACATTAGCCAGAATGTGGCAATCTGCTTTCCTCCGCATTGATTACCACCATCACACTCTATCCCTCATCTCCTTTTGAAGTGGTCCTCGCCCCCCGCTGTGTCTCCCTTTCTGTCCCCCTCCTCATCCCCATCCCCATTCCTTGGCCCCCCAAGCACAAGTTTCCAGTGCTGCACTATGCAATGCATGCACAGAGAGGGGAGCAAGCAAGTCACCTTGGTCGCAAGGCCGCGTGCCATATAATGGTGTGCGAGCAGAAAAAGCAGCCCGCTCTGAAAGGAAATGACCTTCACCGTTTTGGGCTCCTGCCGTGGAAGGAGGCAGCGCACGATGGGTGGATTGGTAGATGAGACAGAGAGAGGGAGGGAGGGAGGGAGGGAGGGAGGGAGGGAGGGAGGGAGGGAGGGAGAGAGGGAGGGAGAGAGGGAGGGAGGGAAGGATGGAGGGAGGGAGGGAGGGAGGGAGGGAGGGAGGAAGGGAGGGAGGGAGGGAGGGAGGGAGGGTGGGAGGGCGAGAGGGAGGGAGGGAGGGAGGGAGGGAGGGAGGGAGGGAGGGAGGGAGGGAGGGAGGGGAGGGAGGGAGAGAGGGAAGGGAGGGGAGGGAGGGAGGGAGGGAGGTAGGGAGGGAGGGAGGGAGGGAGGGAGGGAGGGAGACATGGAGGGGAGGGAGGGAGGGAGGGAGGGAGGGAGGGAGGGAGGGAGGGAGGGAGGGAGGGAGGGAGGGAGGGAGGGAGGGAGGGAGGGAGGGAGACATGGAGGGGAGGGAGGGAGGGAGGGAGGGAGGGAGGGAGGGAGGGAGGGAGGGAGGGAGGTTGCACGCTAAAGTTCCTATCTCAACAAATAGATGCTTCAAATATCTCCATGTTTATTACTGAAAGCTAGAGATGTATTAACTCTGGACTAGACCTGCCTCTGTGCAGAGGTGGGCACGTATAAAATCTTGAGGAATATGGGCGGGTGCAATTGAGGTGTAATCACCCCAACCTGGCCCCCTCTGGAAGGACCATGCTGGTTGTTTCCCTTGTCACCTCCTGTACCTCCTATAGAAAGGTGAGAAACCACTAGTTTCTTAGCGTAGGCCATAAGGCTCCAACCCTATGACGGAGCCATTATCCTTATTTTAATACATGCGTTCCACATGATCAACCTTGAATCCTTTATCAACACGTTGGAATATCCAGCTATTGTCCCCTTTAGAAGATAGAAGTGCTGCAAATTCTTGAGATTGTTTGGCTTTCGCTTGTAAGTGGTTTTTTATAACACAAAGGCAAGTGGGGAAGAGTACTAACACAAGCGATTACACCTGAGATTAGTAGAGAGACATGTAGCTTGTTGTAAGAGTGGATGGTACATGAAGGCAGCCTAGGCAGTCAATAGACTTGGCAGAGAAGTGGGCAAATGTCAATAAGTAATAAACTTGCTTCGTTGCTGGTGTACAAAATGCTAAACACATTCTGGGCCCCTTAAGGTGTTAGGGGAGGGTTGCGGTGGCGCCAATGGCCTGACTTGGTTAGGGCAAACACGAGGAGCGATGGTTATGGTTGAAGATGGGTACATTCCCGGGCCCTGAGCAACGCTTGCCCACGTACTTGGAACATTTTTTTTGGGGTGAGAAACAGTTCAAGCCGGTCGAAAACTGCTCGGATCCAGCGATGCTTGACTCGTCTTGTTACTGCTTGACGTGTCGTTTCTTCATGTCTGTAGTCATGCAAGTGCCGACACGTTCGACACCAACAATCATGTGCTGTCAGGCAGGTAATCAGATTGCTGCATTTGAGAAACCCCTATTGTCAGCCATAGAGATGGCGGATGCCCATGAATTGCCAAGGGGCCCCTTCCTATATCATGCAAGGATGAGAGGTCTGTCTCAGTGCAGAAATGTGTGAGCAGGTACCAGCCCACCTCATTCTGCTGATCGACTAAAGCCTTCGCCGCAGATGATACTCCTCCCTTGCACCCTGACCGTGCCTCTCATCCATTGCAATGCCATCAGTGGGGTCCCAACTTTTGCGGCTTTCAGAGTAAGAAGGAGTCAGGGGACCTAAGCATGCCTGATTATCAATGGGCATCGACGTCTCATTTAAAAATCTAAGACCAGTGTGAGGAGGTGAAGGTGATTGTAAAGTTTGGCGATGGTTGATTGTGAGCAACGAATGTTGTTGAAATGGAGAGCGAGTGAGGAGAGAAACTAGGAGATGGATCCTGAGGATGTGCTGTGTGGTGGACAGCACATGGAAGTAGTATAGTTGGGGAAGGCGATTGGTAGGATGCACCAATCTTTCAATCAGTCATCATGCTTCCAAACAGGGTGGTAGTGCAATGCTGCACATGTAAGGTGTTGGGGGCAGGGGGGGTTATCATAAACTGTAGTCAAATGTACGGTGCTATGTACCCCCTTCCGCACAAGCCATGTGGGGTGCTCATATTACTAAGGAGTTTTGTACAGGGGAATGTGGTGCAAGCCAGATTTTTGGGGCCTGGTGACCTCTCGTTTCTTGAATCATTTGATGACATTCGACGGCAAGAAAATTCCGAAATGGATTTTTCCTCAGCAAGCTGGCTCAGGGTGGGAAAGTACTCATGCTCATGCCAGTTGGTGATTTCAAAAACCAGTGCTGTTTTTATCTCGACTTCCCAACCAGGGTAATTTGTTGTCCATGGGTGGTGACAAGCACTGCGCATGCTTTCCAAGAGACAAACGCACGTCTTGTGCCCCTTGCAGTGCACATCCACTAAATTCAAGGCACCCATTGACTGTTAGGTCGCCCTGATTTGTTAATTCATAAAAAATACTAGAGGCTAGCATTCCAATATCATAACAGGGAGATGTTGACCAGTCGTTGATGCAAGGCAAGCATACCGTCAATTTCTGCAGTCAACTCAAATTTTTGCTATAGTAATTTGTGGTGTGGCTTTCTATAGTCTTGCCCAAAATCGAGGTTTATATAGTGAGGGGGTAGTAATTTGGGATTCGTTACAAAAAGGGTAGTCTATTGCAAAAGTGGTGATAAGCAATAGAGCTCTCCCCACACCCTCCCCCCCCCCCCCCCCCCCCCCCCCCCCCCCCCCCCCCCCCCCCCCCCCCCCCCCCCGTTCAACAACCCGAGGGTCTATTCTGCATATTACCTGGGTTATTACGGTATTTAACCGAGGGCAAAGTCAATTCTGCAGTGGAAATTCGTCGTTGCAGTAGGATAAAAACGACCTATCTGGAACAATCCTAGAGAGGGTGCAAATCAACTAGAGGCACCCTATATGGACAAACAAATGCAGGTGCAAAGTCACTTCCTGTGTGTATGTCTGGACAAAATCGTAGGACACACTTTAACACTAGTCAACAACCACAAGGCACTGATGAATCATGGCCACCATCCTAAACCTCCCTGAAAAAAACGGACAAACGGCAACATGAGCTTTGGCGCCAAGCCCAGATCCAAACCCAAAGCCAAGACAAAGCCTGGAGAAGTCCAGATTGACCTTTCAGCAACCAGTCCTCACAAATCCTCGGAAATCTCACTCCTCCCGAAAGTATCCCTGTCACCACCACTTGTGAGCCTCTCCAGGCTCTCCGCCATGCTCTCCCTCACGCCCTTCTTCTCGGGCATGCTTGGTTCAAGGGAGCCGCCCTCTCCCTCACTGCAGTGCCTGGAGAGGAGCGCCTGCAGGCGGCGGGCGACGTCCTTCATGGGGGGGCGGCGGGAGCCAGGCACCTTGACGCAGTCGAGAGCGATGTCGGCAAACTCCACCACCGCCTCCTCCGGGGCCTCCAGTGCCGCTTCCTTCAGCGAGCTGAACTCGTACGCCTGCACCTTGCGCGTCGCCTGAAGGGGGAGGGGGAGAGGCAGGGGCAGGGCAGGTGGGTGGAGGGGAGGGGGAGCTCGCTGAACTCGTACGCCTGCACCTTGCGCGTCGCCTGTCATGCGTGGGGTCAGGCAAAAGAGGATGGGTGGGAAGAAGGAGAAGGTGGGGTATCGAAAGTGAAAAATGTGTGGGGTGGGACAAGGAGGGATAGGTGGGGGGCGGGGGAAGAGGGGGGGGAGAGGGGGGGGGGGAGGCGGGGGAGGGTGGGTAGGAGTCTGGAAGCCGCAATTGTAGTATTAGGGATATGAGCCTTGGGTATGAAGTGAGAAATAAGGGTGGTTAGCTTGTAACTTCTCCATCTTAGCTAGGGAGTGTACCACAAGTCCTCCATGGCTCACCCATTCACAAATGTGCTGGTCGGTCCCTCCTTTCACATGGGTCCTCTGCTTAGTCAAGAGTTCAAGCAGCACCACGCCAAAGCTGCAAATGCGGGAAAAATGCAGAGGCAGAGGAGGGAGGAGAAGATGTAGATAATGCCAATTGGAACAAAGTTCGAGTCATTTATGTGCGAGTGAAAGAACGTGAAATCCGCCACAAAACTAATGCACATCCTCTTGGATGGCCGAAATGGTGTTATAAAACTGTGGTTGCTTCAGCACATCCTCTTTCATAGAGCCCACCTGAAGACGTCGGACCTTTCGGTCACCACACTAGAACGGTTGTAATCCGGATCCACGTAGCCCGGAGTCCCGGCAATTCGTGTCCGATCGTCATGCTCTGCTGCATGGCTCAGTTGCTTCAGTAAGCCAAAGTCCGCTATTTTGGCCTGTGTGCACGCATGGGCACACACATGCACCCCAGCCACACCCACACACACACACAAACACACACCCAAAAAGTCCCACCCACACATCCACCACGTCCACACCCACACCATGTATGCAAGAAAGCACGCAGGCACATACGCACGCACAGACACAGACACAGAAAGACACACAGGCACACACACACAGACACACAGGCACACACACACATACAAACACACACACACAAACACGAGCACATACACACACACATACAAACACACACACACACACGAGCACATACACACACACACACAAACACACACACACACTCAGTCACACAACACACACAGAGACACACACACACATTCACACACACAGAGACACACACACATAGCACACATACGCATACACACAAACACACAGAGCACACACACATGCACACACACACAGACACACCCACCCCCACACACACACACTCACACACACACACACACAAACACACCCAACCCCCTGCCCTCTACACACACACAAACGAGCGTGCGCGAGCGCATGCGCACGTATGCACACACGCATGCACACAGTCACGCATGCAAGAAAATATCATGTACGTATGAGTGGAGAAAATATTGGTGGCAGGGGATTTAATGACAATTACGTATCTATCTGTGTTACAAACACAAGTATGCTAACAAGTTGGGTTAAATGGCCATGCTGCTAGGTCAGAGCGCCCATATCCCCCAAGACACTAGCTGTAGCCCTTCCAGCAAATCTGGGTCATCTTAGTGGCCCTTTTGAGCTACTCTCACCTGCAATGGGAGCCAGTTATGACGATCAGTCCACTGAGAGTTCAACCCTTGATCACCTTGGCACCGTTTTTGAAATACCAGCCCAGTAACAGACTTGGTCAGAAAGTGAATGCTGGGTTTCTGAATCAGCGCATCCATTCATATGTAATCTTTGCCCCCTCCAGGATTTCTGGTTCATCTCATAAATTTTCGAGAAGAATATTCACCTGCAATGTTGGGATTGCCAAGGAAGTTAGTGCACACTGAGGATTGAACCCCGGACCACTCTGGAACACCAGCACACTAACCATCAGTTTAAGAACGGCATGTTGGTTCCTTGGGTCTTTGTACCCAAAATTCATGAAAGGAACTTGTACGTCCAAGACCCTGGGTCATCCCAGTAAACTCATGAGCAATAACCAACAGTGGCTCTTGTTGGTCAGCCCCATGATGATTAGGTTATTGGTAGCCCATCCGCTCTACACTGATATATTCTAAACAACTTGTAATGCCACCGATTCTCCCCATGGCTAGCCCCCACCTGATAGTCTTGTGTGACGAGGATGTTGCCAGGCTTGAGATCGCGGTGTACGATGGGCGTCGCGAAGCTGTGCAGATATGCCACTCCCTCTGCTGCCCCCACCGCCAGCTGCAGCCGCTGCTGCAGTGATAAGGGGGCTGGGGATACAACGGGATGTGGTGAGAGAAGAGGAGATGAGATGTTGAATTGAGCACCATAGTACAGAACAAGCATGTAGAAATAAGGACACAATAGGTAGGGTTGTGTTGAATAACAAGAATAGGCATGAACAACAACCAGACCAGGCCGACCTGTAACGGGCATCGGGTGTAAAGATAAGCGACATCCGAAGTTCCGACAGATGCATTAGAGGTCTCAATATGCAGACATGCTATCAGGCAATGCAAAAACCAAAACATGAAAGAAACAAACAATTTTACTTTATACAGGCCCCATGCCAACCCCCAACCTCTTGATTACCCTCCAAACAAAGCTGCACCGCCATGCCAGTACCACCAACCAACACCCCTCGACCTCACACAACGGTACATTGCCTACCAGAACCTGAGGGCCAGAAGGAGGCAAGGGAGAAAACTCGCCTCAATCACACTACATGACTGAATTGAGTAACAAGGCAAGGCGGTTCGGTTTTCACTTGACCATTTCAACTCAGGTAGTTTTGGTTAAGTGAAAGAGTGCTCAACTGATACTCTCCCAACTTGATCCAATGTTGAATTGGCGGATCAATTCAATAGATTTTGGCAGGTTGGCGGAACTTTTAGTGGTTCTCCCACTTTTCACTCTGTGGACACTGTTGCTATCCCCAACCGTCTCTCGTATTTCTAGGTGATTTTGGGCTATCAGGCCTCTGAGTGGATGGCTGCCTTCATTGCTGAGTGTGAGGCGTTCATTCAGACTCCCTCCTACGCATGAAGGTTGCATGGTCAATTAGGGTAAACTTTCGAAAACACGGCCATCTCTTTATTGCACCTTGGCAAGGCTACTATAACTAGCAGAGTTAGTTGTAGCCTATTACGAGCGATTAAATGTAAGCAGCAAAGAACTAGCATATGATCCGCTACTAGCATAAGTACAACTTGAAGAGTATAGGAATGGGAGCGTACACTTGGAGTCGTGGATGTGGTACTTGAGGTCCCTGTTGGGCACGAACTCGTAGACGAGGATCTGCTCCTGCTGGCCGTTCTCCACGTTCTGATGCAGGCAGAAGCCCAACAGGCGCACCACGTGCTCATGCCGCAGTGACGCCATCGCCCGCACCTGAGGAAGGTTTAGAGAGTATTAATGCAGAAGAAGGGGTTAGAGAAACGTTCTCATGTCACAGCGACGCCATCGCCCGCGGTGGCAAAGGAGGAAGGGTTGAGGAAAACCACAGACCGTACACCTTTTGAAGCACATTCGGCTTGACTTGAACAAATTCCAGAATTAGGTGTTCGACTGTCCGCATACAAGGGACATATACATGTGCGACACACACACATGTTTGAATCGAATCTGTTCGTGTTTGCTTCGGGTAGGGCTTTCATCACAGAACCATTTTGCACTTGAGTGTTTTTTAGTATTGGTGTAGCAAAATGCGTGGGAATATGGAACAGAGGATTGTGAGGAGTTAAGGTGATCCTTACACAGTAAAGCAAATGTCTGGCGCCAAAGTTAAGACTTCCTGAACGAAAACCAGATTGGTCCAGTGATACAAGGAAACACTTTGTCTGAACATCTCAATGCCTTCAATATCACTCCAAGCAAGCCCCATCAACCCAGGCAATTCCCTGACTGACCTCCTTTTCGAAGTCGTTGGACATGAGCTCATTGCGCTTGATGGCCCACAGCTCGCCCTTCTCCGACACGCCCTTGTAGACCGTGGCAAAGCCGCCCTTCCCCAGCACACTCTCGCTCGACCAGTGGTCTGTCGCCCGAAGAATCTCGCCAATGCTGAACTCGTGACACACATCCAGGTCGCCCCACTTCCCTACCACACGAGTAGACGTATCACAGACAAAAGTCAGCACAGGCATGAGGATGATTCGGGCTAGACACTTTAACGACTTGGTCTGACACGGTTGGCTTAGACATAAGCAATTACTGAACCGGAACATGTTCAGCACATCCGAACCTCCCTACTGGTCGAGTCGAACCAGTTCGTCTCATCCGAACTTCTTTTTGCCGCTTGTCAAATCAACATGGTCGAACCTTTCCTAGTCCGGCCGGACTTTACAAGGTTCGTCAGGTTCGCCAGCCGAATCAGCATGGTATATTGTCCTCTCTCTCCTTCCTTCTCTTTTACTAAACGCCGCCAAATCTGACAATTCGCCACCAGATCTGGCATTATCGTGGTTGAAACAGGTGACGGGCAAGATGCAATGATATATGTAGACTAACCCTTATCCCGTTTCGAAAAATGAAGTCTAACCTTCATCCCGTTATTTTCTAGCACGTTTCCTGCCTCCCGTGATCGAGCCCCACTTCACCCTAACTGTTTTACCGCGTCGAAGTGTTTGGGTTCCATGCTGAACGAGCGACCCAATACATTTTTTCCCAAAAACAAAAGTTTGGTTCGATCGGACCGGATCAGACATTTTGCGCGTTGCTACTGCCGGCCGCTAACTTGACCGCAGCACGGTTAGCCTTACAACGCACTTACCCGACTTTTGGACCGCATCGACCCCAGTCGCGCATGTCGCTTGCAGGTCGTGAAAAATAAATGTTGGATCAAAGACAGATTCAAGGTCCCCCCTGTTAGTGTTAGCCCTCAATCTCACATTTTTACTTATACTTTTTTTTGTTTCATATCCAAGTTTAGAGTAGTTTACACTTTGTGTTTGGTTGGGTGTACACCCACATCCCAACGAAGCCCAAATGTGATCTCCAAGCAATCTTCAACCCACCAATTGGAGATTGCCTTGGGATTACCCCCAACCCTAAGAGATTTCCCCAGATTCCCTCCCCATCCATCCCTTGCTCATCCTGAATGTACTTAAAGAGCTTCGAGCTCATCACTAATGCATGGATTCTAAGCTCAAGTTCTGACACCCCCCACTGTGCGCCCCAATAGCCACCCAGTATAATCTTGCGGACACGAGGGTTTTGTATGTCGAACCGATGATCATGCCTTAGACAGAGTACGTTCCACTCGGCTTGATTGTTTGGTCATGCATAGCCAATGCAAACGGCAGTGCCGTTTCCCCTGGGCATGGACATATGATTCAAAGGAAAGTTGGGAGGGAAGGGGGGTAGATTACTGCGTTGGCGGGGCCAGAGCAGTGCGACAACAAGGGCGAGGAGGAGAGCGAAGGCAGCAGCAGAGCCCACAGCGATGCCCACCACTGCACCCGTGGAGAGGGCTGCAGACGGGGGGTTTGGAGGGTGGGGGAGGAAGGGGAAGGGCAGACCATTTGGGAAGGAGGAACAAGCGTAAAAAATAGAAAATATGGCAGCGTAAAAAATAGAAAATATGACCATTTGGGAAGGAGGAACAAGCGTAAAAAAAACAAGGGGGTTCCTTGACGTCCTTCCCAACTCCACACCACATTACAAGCTTCCAATGCTCCTTCCCAGCATTACATTTACAAGCTTCCAGTGGTATGTAATATGGCAGCTGAAGCTACTAAGGTTACATATAAGAAGAGTAACACGCCAACACACCTAAGAACCAGGACATCCCCCTGCAATTCCTTGGCCAATAACGCAACATACCTGGGTGGTGGAGGGGGCGGAGCAGGGCATACCAGCAGCAGGGGGCGGAGCAGGGCGGGCGCAGGTGGAGCCGAGGGAGCCGTTGGTGGGGACGAAGCCGTCGTCGCACTCACACGTGAAGCGCGCCTCTGCTGCCCCCGCCTGCGGCGGCACACACGCTCCGTGCCCGTCGCACGGCCCCAGCTCCCGCGACATGCTGCAGAATGCCAGGCACTCGTTGCTGCTGCGCTGCGTCTCGTTCCCCGTGCACCCCATCTGCTTGTTTAAAGTGAAACAGTTCCTCTGCAGGCTCGCCTCGCCCCGCTTGTTGGCCCCTGCACGTGTCGTCTGAACAAATCCCCCGACACCCTCGGGTGCACAGCGGCCGCCAGAGGGGCTGAGGAGGTCGCCTGGTGTCAAAACAAGGGGCTGGATGACCCCCGAGGGGCAGAACTGGCAGCCATCGGCGTAGAGCATGGGGTCGCCGTAGAAGAAGTTGCCTGCGATGTTGAGCAGAGCGCCGTTGTCAGGAATCATGCTGCGGAAGTTGCTGTTGATGGGGCCGTAGAAACTGTTGTTGCTGATGTCACTGAAAACAATGGAAAGATGGGCGACAACAAGAAGCGTGGAGGGTACTCCAACATCAAGTTGCAATTTCTGTCCGCAGCTGCAATCTAGACACTCGACATTGGCAAAAATCGCGAACCCCTGTTCGGTTCGGTTTGTCACAAACGTGTTCGTGACAAACCGAACGGGGGGGTCTTTTGCCCAAAAACGATCGTGACAAACGCTCCCAGTTTGTCACAAACGCGTTCGTGATGTTCGTCCCGTTCGCCTTAAAACAGGTTTGCCGCAATCCCTGCGGGTATGTAGTGAACAAACTCGTCAGTTGAGAGCTCAAAGTGAGCTCAAATGAGCAGATCCGCCATTGTTATTCCCTCCCTACACACAGCCGCCCTAGAGACACATGAATTAGAGCGTTTCACCCTCGTTTCAGCGGTGTATGATGGCACCCAAACCCGAACAGGTTCGAGTTCGCCTCAAACATTTAAGGGGAGCGTGGCAAACCTCAAGTTTTCGTCCGTGACCACGAACACACGAACGCCTATTTCAGGAATTTGGTTCGTGGCATACCGAACGGGTTCGGTTCGCCAACCTTAGGTGTTCATTGAGGTTCGTGGCAGACATGTTCGTGTTCGCCATTTGCTCATGTCTAAAGGCTTGAACCATGACACTCAAAAATTTGTTTAAGAGCCCTTTTCTTTGTGTGTGTGTGTGTGTGTGTGTGTGTGTGTGTGTGTGTGTATGTTTGTGTGTGTGTGTGTTTATTTTTTTTTACCATGTCAACCCACCCCAACCCGTCCCACCCCAGGCTTGACCCAGACAGGGTTTGGGACTCCTCGGTTCACCTCAAAATCGAGTCAGGGCCCTGTGGGAGCCGAGCCGGTCTGGACTTAGACGGAAGGGCCCAAGCAACTCAATTTGCGTGGGTTTCCACGTCTAATCGAAGTCAATTACGAGCCGGTTCAGTTCGACGCGGGTAGGAAGAAAAAGACATTGAACAGGTTGAAATCAGACCGGGTTGTGGTTCAGCTCGATGCAGACCAAACCGCATCCGTTCCGACTGTGGTTTGTTATTTAGATCATGCCAGGTGCTCTGTATCCAATTTCCATTTTCAAGAACCACTCTGTTTGTCATTCTTATCAACCACCTGAGCACAATGCTCATTCATACGTCCCCAAAGTATACCCTTGCACAATATTAGTGAACATACTCACATCTTGTGCAAGCAATGTTCGAAGAGGCATGACAGAAACTCTCCATAAAAGTAGTTTTTGTAAAGAAAACTGGAACAGTAAGAAGACATGCCATGCAGGAAAGTAATCATTGTGACTGATTAGATTGGCACCAACAAGCAGCGGAACATGTGGAGGGGCAGCAAGAACAGGAGAAATTTCTAGAGCCATTGGATTGCTGCCTTCTGAAAACAACCATGGCAGTCTTGGAAAAGTGAAGGAGAAGAAGAAAAAATGTATAGAATGTTGAGGGCGTGCATTGTGCGGCTGAAGTGGAACGACGAGTTTCCTCTAAGCGAGTGATCAGGGGAGCACTTCAGAAGAAAATTCTCAGTTCGACCATAGACTTTGATATTTTCTGGGCCAACCAGAGTGAATGGCATCTGTTCACGGGGCGAGACCACTGCAGCTCGCGCCACCATTTAATTTAGGGTTGGGATTGGCTGCCGCTCGCGCAGTGACTTCGTCGGCGAGTTTGTGAGTGGCTGCTGCTTGCGTCGCGATGTCTGTGGCTGTGCGAACCGGGCTCACAGCCGGTTAGCATTACTGCTCAATCAATCGAGTTGTGATTGTGGTTATTCACACCCTCGGCACTGCTGACACATTTGACTTGAGAAGGGGGAAGGGGGCACGTGGCGAGCAATCCTTCGACAGCAAAGTGCGAGCTCGAACTGCTCGCGGCTCCAAAGTTCGATTCACACAACTACTCCAACTCATCTCGCTGATCGAGATGTTTTACCTCGCGGCACAATCTTGACGGTTTTCAAAAGGGCCTGAAGTTCGTCACGTATCGAGGCTGTTGAAATAACGAAGAATTCAAAATGTTTCATTGGCGAATCGCGAGCCCGCCAATTTACATAATAAATAGGTGGAAAACTTGGAAAGTGTTCCCGCTATGACAAGTGAAGTTGCGAAGGCTAGAAAACGGAATCGGCTACAGTAGAATGCAATAGGATGAGTACATAATTTTCTTGTACTTGCTCTTATAGAATATAACATGACTGGATTTCTTACTCCAGTAATTGCTACGACAACACTGCCGGAATCCAGAATTTGGACAATGCTGAGAAATGAAGATCTAATCTGCCGCAACCTTACTGCTATTTCAGCCCTCCTTCTACACGCTTGGACCCTTGAATAGGGGTTGTCCTAGGTCAGGCACCCAGGGACCCTTGGAGGTGACCCCGAGGAGAGGTTTGCAGTGTCAGCAAGGCTAATAGTAGTTTGAACAGTGTGTTACAAAAAAACACAACAAGGATTGTAGTGGTAAACAAGAAAGTACATTTGTTCTAGCTTGGTGAGGCTGCATATTGAAGGAGGGAGTCTTCCGGTGAGCTGGTTGTCAGACACGGACCTGCCAGCATGCAGAAGCATGAGTAGGCATGAGCCAGTGTCAATTCCCAATCATACTGTGTTGTGTCGGGTTGCATGAAAACTTCAGGTGGGAAATACTTGTGGGAAGGTGGGAGGTGGTGGACAAGCTGCGTACAATTCAGCTGCAGAGCACAAATTGTCGAAGTGGAATCTTGGTTCGAATCGAACCAGCCCAACTTTCTGTTCGAACTTAAGCTTAGAATCCATACATTAGTAATGAGCTCAAGGCTCTTTAAGTACATTGGAATTGGGCAAGGTAAGGGTGGGGAAAGAATCGGGGGCAATCCTAGGGAATTGGGGGTGATCTCAAGGCCATCTTCAATTGGTGGGTTGGAGATTGCTTGGAGATCACATTTGGGTTTGGTTGGGATGTGGGTGTGCACTAGGGTTGAGCAAGATAACGAGCACCTGTTCGGTTTGCCTCGATTTTTTTTGGCTAAAAATGTTCGTGGCGAACGTGTTCAGTGTTCGCCCGAACACGTTCGGTGTTCGTCTCGTCGTGGGTGCCGAGCCGCGACGAACACAAACACGTTCGTGTTTGTTTCGGGGCAAAAACGAACACGGATGTGTTCGTTGCGACTGTCCCGCGATATACAATTTAGGCTGCGGGACATTCTGTTTGAGCTCAAATTTGAGTTCAAACTTAGTCGCGCTATTCAGCAGCAGCCATTACTACCACGGCCCCCACACATCACGCCATTATCACCTCATTAGGACTTAGCGTAAGTAAATTGTTACCTTAGGTTAGTCTGACTAGACTAGGGTAGGTGAGATTTAGGTTGTCGGGAAGGGATTAGACAGGAATACTGCAAAATCTCGTAAGTTGAAGGTTGGGGGTAAGCATTCGCAAATTTTGTATGCTGGGGTTGGGGAAAGCATTCGCGAATTGCGTAAGTTGGGGATTGATAGGAATAGCGTTCGGATTTTTCGTGAGTTGGGGGATTGTGGGAGGGTGGCGAGCGATCGCAAATTTCGTAAATCTAGAGGGGGGAGAGCATTTTGCCTTACGTGGGGGGAAAATCCAGGTGGCGAGCTGGATAAGCAAAAAATTGGATCCCGAACTAGCACAAGCCAGATCCAGCCTAAAAATTTCCCCCCAGTTTCCCGCAATTCCCCTGCCCGCCGTTGCGTATTTCGAGCGTAACAGAGGATGCCCAAAAGCGAATACAAACGTGTTTGCCACGAACACGTTCGTGTTCGCCTCCGAAAACAAGGTGTTTGCCTTCACGGGCAAACGTCGAACACCTTTTTTTGCTAAAGGTGTTCGGCGGACCGAACAGTGTTCGGTTCGCCGAACGGCGATGTTCGTGCAGGGGCAAACGCGAACACGTTCGTGTTCGCCTCTTGCTCATCCCTAGTGAACACCCAACCAAACACAAAGTGCAAACTACACTAAACTAGGATATAAAAAGTACAAGTACAAATGTGAGATTGGGGGCTAACATTAACACCCCCCATAAGCATCAATCGAACTCACGGCAGAGAAGGTGGAGAGCAGAGCCCCACGGCGCCTAGAAGGCGATGGTGAGGAACCTTCCCAAGGGGCCTGGTGAACAGATCAGCCAAGTTGCAGTCAGAATCCACATACTCCACATTGAGCTGCTCCCGCTGGACAAGGTCACGGATGAAGAAGTGCCGAAATTCGATGTGCTTGGTGCGAGTGTGGTATATGGGATCCTGGAAGAGGTGGATGGTGCTCTTGTTGTCACACCAGAGGGTGGGAGTGGGCTGAGGGTAGCCAAGCTCCTGGAGTAGGAAGGTGAGCCAGCGGGCCTCCTGAGCCGCCATGGTGCCAGCATAGAGCTCTGCCTCACAGGAGGAGAGGGAGACTGCAGATGACCAGGTGGAGCGCCAGCTGACAAGTCCGCTCCCAAGGGTGAAGCAGTAGCCTTGGGAGGAGCGTCGGTCGATCTGGTCATCAGCCCAGGAGGAGTCTGTGTACCCTTCCAGTCGAGGAGGAGAAACCCCACCAAGGGTGAGGACATGAGACTTGGTTCCCTGCAGATAGCGAAGCACCCGCTTTGCCGCTTTTCAGTGAAGGTTAGTGAAGCGTCCAGGAGCCACATAGCGAGAGAGGACACTGATAGGGTATGCCAGATCAGGCCGGGTACACATCATGGCGTACATGAGGGACCCAACAAGCTCTGGGTATGGCTCAGTGCAGGCCTCTGGTGTGGGGACAGCTGGAGCAGTGAGGAGGTGCTGTAGTAGCAGTGAGGTGGCCATGGGTGTGCACAACTTCATCTCAAAGCGCTTGAGCACATTGTTGATGTAGAACTCCTGGGAGAGTGAGATGGTGCGAGCCTGGCGATCACGACTGATCTCCATCCCCGAATAGTGCTTGAGGTCACCAAGGTCTTTCATTA